GACTCTGATTGCCCTCCCCTCCGCCCTGCACGCTCCTCACCAAAGCAGTAGGTGCTGCCGTGTCCCCTGCCTCGCTTCAGGTCCCACCGCTGCCTCGTGAGAGGCGCTGGGGGCAAGTTGGTGCTCAGCGTCTCCATCTGCACAATGGACTGCTGGCTGTGCACGCGGAGGGCTTGGCACCACCTGAGCTCAGTGGTTGTGTCCCACGCTCACCTGCGTGTGTCGTGCAGTCTCCCGAGCTCCGTGGATGCCACCCACTGCTGTCGCAGTCAGATCTCCCACCTCGCTGGTGCCCACATGGCGGGTGTGGACCTAGAGGGCCAAGGGCTGAGTGGACAGGCCCGCTCGGTGATGGGCCTGGAAGCCTCCGGTCGAGCCACGTGGAAGGATGGCACTGCACGCGGGCACAGTGGTGTTTCACAGCGTGGGCTCCTAGGCGAGCAGTCCAGCAGCAGGAATTGTGGCTTCCTCCTTGTTTCCGACACTCTCACAAAATAACAGGGAAGTGCCCACGAGGAGTTTGTGGGGACTCTGAAGGTAGCAGTCTGGGTTCCTCTGGTTAGAGGAGCTCCGTGTTTGATGGGCCAGGAGGTGTGAAGACGAGGCTGAGATGAGCAGAGAAGCTGTTTCCTTATGGATGTCACCCAGCTCCTCACTCCTGCCCACCCTCCTGGTGCATCGGAGCACCTGGGTGTGTTCCCGCTTACTTGGGACCCAGAGGGTATTGCACAGGCTGGCATGGCTCACCGACAAAGCTGGGGCTCCCGTGTCAGAGGCCGGGGGTGTCTGCTGGCTCTGTGTTCCTTCCCCAGAACGTGGGGGGCAGGCAGTGCGGGGCCTTGGGACTGCTGTGCCCGCGGCCCGCGAGGAGGCTCTCCTTGTGGCCAGTTCCCATCATTCCTTTAAGGCCTTTTGAGGTTGGGCTAAAGCTGTCTTCATGTGCCCAGCAGAGCTGCCCCAGTTGTCTTCTGACATTTACCAGGAGGTCTTGGGGCCTCTAGTTCCCATCAGTGGTCCCCACCCCAAGTTTCTGAGTCGGCAGTGTGCCGATGCTGCAGGTCAGTCAGGTTCCCCACGGTTGGGACCGCTGGGCTGCCTGCCTTCCATCTTGCCCCCCTGCCCCCGCCATACCCGAAGAACAGGACTGCAAGTGACGTGTGTCATTTGATCCTTCGTCAGTTGGAGGATATTATTAAGTACATGGAAAGGTTGGCTCTTCATTTGCCTTAAGAAAAATAAGGCTTAGCACAAAATGCCGCACAATGTGTGATTCCATTCACGTGAAATGCCCAGAAACAGGCAAGTCCACAGAGACAGAGAGTAGATTAGTGATTGCCGGGGGCGGAGGAGTGACGGCTCATGGGGACGGGGTCTTTCTGGGGTGACGAGAGTGTTCTGGAATTAGTGCATTGCTTGCACAACGCTGGAAGGACTGAGAAGCCACTGAGTTGTGTACGTGAAGCAGGTGAGCTCCAATCTGTGAGAATCCCGTCGGCGTGGAGCTGTCGCTCCGGAAGCAAGGGTAGGGCCCACAGGTACTTGAGTCGTGCTGACCCTTACCCCGGGCCCTTGCCCCCAGAATTCTTCACCTGCTGTGAAGTGCTGCAGGATACTGTGAAGTATCCACGCCCTCTCCGTGGTGCAGCAGCTGCAGCACTCACGTCAGACAGGGCGCGTCTGGTCCTGGTTTCTGCGAGGTCTGGGCTCACTTGGCTGCCCAGACCCCACTGAGAGGCCTGGAGGGAGCCCTCAGTCTCCTCTTTGAGGAGGGAGTAGCAGTGAGCCCCCATGCTGCGGGCACTGTGGGGCTAGGGGGTGTCTGTGCTCTGGCGGGAGGGCGGCCCCGTGAGTTTTCCCCATGGTTGTGGTACTGGTGTTTCCCCATTTTACAGATGGGAAAACAGAGGCCTGGAGAGGTTCAGTAAGTCAGAGCCAGGCCTGTGGCTTCCAGGCTGCAGCAACACCTGGTTGGGGGGTAGCAGGGCGGGTGAGGACTCAGCAGAGCGGTGGGTGCGGGGGGCCGGGAGAGGAGGGTCGGGGCGAAGACTCCATCCCAGGCCCCTGCCCTACTGCGTGCTGCGGAGGGACAGGTCTTCCCCAAGAGCGGCGTGTCCAGCGTGGGCAGGGGTCCCAGAGCAGCACCTCTTGCCCCGGGCCGGGTCCCCGCACCCTGCATCACCGGAGGGTGTAAATCCTGTCCCTTTGTCTTTCAGGACAAACACCACGATGCTGCTCATGAAATCATCGAGACCATCCGGTGAGTGCGGCACCTGCCGGGGTGGGCGGGCCCCCATGCAGGCCAGCCCAGCTGTGCTTTCTGGGCTTACAGCCTGCCCTTTGACCCCGCTTTGCCCTGCGTGGCTCCTCTTGGTGAGCACCTCAGGAGGACTTGAGAAGCGACAGCTTGGTCAGAGGTGGCCAGGTCGTCCGCGTGTGGCCCTGAACAAGTCTCCGTGCTTCTCCGAGCCTTGGATCCTCCTGTGGAAGGGGAGGGAAATGCCGAGCAGGCAGGGGGCTCCCCCACCTCTCCTCACCACCTTGCTTCCTTCTCCTCCCCCTTGGATTTGGTGCTGACTCAGCCTTCCCGCGGGGCTGTTCCGCTCAGTACCCCGCACAGCCTTTCGCCCGCTTGTTCCCTGAATGTGCGGAGAAGAGCGCCGCCCCTCCCCTACCTCAGGCGGGCGACCTTGACAGAACCCACAGAAGGCTTTCTCTTTGCTGGCGTGGGGTCTGGAAGGACCTCCAGAGTGCGGGCCGTGGCCGCTGGGCGCAATTCTGTAACTGCTTCTTGCCCTGTGGTCAGGGACCCTGTTCTTCTCTGAGCATTTGCAATAAAGCCGGGGGTTTGTGTGTCTGCGTGGCTTTGGCCTCTCTTGCCGTGTTGTTTCTCAGAATTCTCACCTGCGTAGCCACCCCCGGGCCCCTGCCGTGATGTCTGCAGGAAGCTGCCGTGGCTGGAGACAGAGCTGGGCTGGTGGTGCCCTGTGCATCAGCCAGGAGGGCAGGGCCAGCTTGTGGTGGGCCCCTTTCCCTGCCGCGTGGTAGCTGGGCCACCAGCCCAGGCCACTGCAGCTGCCCGAGCCTGTCGGGTTGGCTCTGAGGGCCAAGCAATGCCTCCTTGCAAGATCGTTTCCAATTTTAAGTGAAATAATGTGTGCAAATGTTGCAGGGTGGGCCTGAAAGCAATCAGTGGTGTTAACTAGTTGCCTTAGTTTGATTTATGTTATTTTTAAAGAAGGCTGCTGGTTAGGAAGTGGGAGAGTCGAGGTTAACAGGGAAGGCTCTGAGTCAGGTGGCCTGGCGTGTGCCCCAGTGGCCTCTGCGCTTGTTTCTCATCTGCGGAGTGGGGTGCTTCTCCCTGTGCAGCTGGGGGTCAGCATCCGTGCTGCAGCTGCTGAGCCAGCCCTTTGTCTGCTGTGGCCTCGTCCTCTCCCCGGGCTGGCTAGAGCTGCCCATCTACAGGCCTGATCCTCATGTCCTGGGTCTCAAAACCATGTTACCTTCTTCCTCTTTGTCCCTGCAGACAAGTTCTGTTCACTGGCGAGATGGTCAGTACCTCGTTTTGTTCTTTCTTTTACTTTCTATAATGGAGAATTTCCAGCAGATGCAGTGGTAGACAGAGGGTGTCATGAACCCACGTACCTGCCACCCAGCCTAACAGGGACCAGCTCATCACCCCTCACGTGTCGTCTGAACCTCCATCCACTTTAGTTTTTGCTATATTTGTATTTCTTAAAAAAGCAATTGAGATACAACGGTGATACGAGAAACCACACGCGGGTAAGGTGCACGCTCCAGCCGATGTGGACGTGTGCTCCGGTCTCCATGTGTCCTCTGTGATCTGCTTGCCCTCCACCACCGTCCCCAGGCAGCCCCAACCCGCTTTCTGCCACGACAGGTTACCTCGCCTGTTTCAGAATTTTACCTGCAAGGACTTGTTCAGGATGTCCTTTTCTTTTTCCTGACTTCTTCCAGTCAGCACAAGACTTTGAGATTCTCCCTGTTGTTGTGTGTATCAGTCATTTTTCCTCTTTGTTACTGAGGAGTGTTCCGTTGTAGGATAGACTATGGCCATGTTTGGGCTGTTTTCGACTTTGGCGATTATAAATAGAGCTGTTACGAATATTCATGTGGGGGTTTTTTGTAGACATGTCTTTTGTTTCTTTTGGGTAAATACCCAGGAGTGGGATTGCTGGGTTTTATGGCAGCTTACTGTAAGAGGAACTACCAAGGTGTTTTCCAGAGGGATCGTCCTGTTTTGTACCCCACAAACAGTGCAGGAACATCCCTGTAGCTCTCCAGTGCACCAGCATGTGGTGTTGACATGGTTTGGTTTTGCTGGCCTAATACGAGCTGTGTGGTGGTATCTCACTGTGGTTTTAATTTGCTTTTCCTAATAATTAATGACGTTCATCATCTTTTGCCTGTTTTTAAGAATTGATTTTACTGTTGAATTTTAACTGTTCTTTACATGGTCTCATTACCAGTCCTGTATCAGATGTGTATTTTGCAAATGTTTTCTTCCTGTCTGTGGTTTACCTCTTCATATTCTTTTTTTTTTTTTTAGATTCTATTTATTTGGGCACCTGAGTGGCTCAGTCGTTAAGCGTCTGCCTTCGGCTCAGGTCATGATCCCAGGGTCCTGGGATCGAGTCCCACATCGGGTTCCCTCCTCGGCGGGAAGCCTGCTCTCCCTCTCCCACTCCCCCTGCTTGTGTTCCTGCTCTCGCTACCTCTGTCTCTGTCAAATAAATAAATAAAATCTTTAAAAAGATTTTATTTATTTGTCAGAGAGAGAGAGAGAGAGAGCGCGCGCTCAAGCAGGGGGAGGGGCAGAGGCAGAGGGAGAAGCAGACTCCCCGCCGAGCAGGGAGCCCGATGCCAGGCTCGATCCCAGGACCCCGGGATCATGACCTGAGCCGAAGGCAGACTCTTCACCAACTGAGCTGCCCAGGTGTCCCTCCCTTTTCATGTTCTTAACAGTGTCTTTGGAAGAGTAGATAGTGGCAGTATCGTAGCCAATGAGGTTTATCCGAGGCGCGATTATTGCTAATTGGAAGAGTAGATAGCTTAAATTTTAATAAAAGTCCAATTTGTCCACATTTTTCTTTTATAATTTGTGTTTTTCGCCTCCTAAGAAATATTTGCCTAATCTGAGGCCACAAGGGTTTTCTCCTATGCTTTCTAGAAGTTTTATGGTTTAGGTTTTCTATTTAAGTTTTTTAATCCATTCTGAGTAAATTTTTACATATGGTACAAGGGATGAGTTGAAATTGATTGTTTTGCATGTGGATGTCCACTAGTTCCAGCACTGTTTGTTAATGAGACTGTCCTTCCTGTCTGAAATTTCCATGGCACCTTCGTCAGAAGTCAGTGGACAGTGTGGGAGTTGGTTTATTTCTAGGCTTGGTTCTGTGCCACTGACCCGAAGAAAACCTTGATTCCTTTATCTGTAGAGTTGTGTTGAGATTGAGCAGAGTAAGTTCTCCACCTTTGTTCTTCTTTAAAATATTGCTTTGGTGGAGCACCCGGGGGGCTCCGTCAGTTCAGCGTCCGACTCTTGGTCTCAGTGCAGGTCTTGATCTCGGGGTTGTGAGTTCAGGCCCCATGTTGGGCTCCATGGTGGGGGTGGAGCCTCCTTAAAAAAAGTAATAAAAAAATATTGCTCTGGTTATTTCACCTCCTTTGCATTTCCATGTAAATTTTAGAATCAGCTTATTGATTTTTGCATAATTTTGTTAGGAAATGCATTGAATCAGTAGGTCATTTGGAGAGATTGGCCCTTGAGGCTTCCAATACTGGGTCTTTCAATCCAAGAACATAGTATATATCTGTCTACAGTTCGCTCAGCAGTGCTCCGTTATCTAAGTGTGGGGTCTTGGACACCTTCTGTTAGATTTATTCCCAGATAGTTGAGCTCTTGGCACTACTATAGATGGGATTCCATGTTAAATTTTATTTTCCAGTTGCCTGCTGCTAATAAATAAGAACACAGTTGATTTTCATATATTAACTATGACTTGTTGCTAAATTTATTGATTCTAGTACTTGATTTGTAGATTTTTTAGGACTTGCTGTAGAAATGAATATACCTGTGAATAGGGACAGTTTTACTTCTTTGTTTCAGTCTTCATGATTTTATTTCTTTTCCTTCTCCTTACTGAATTGGCTAGGACCTTCAGTACAATTTAGCGTAGAAGTGGTAAAAGCTACGGGTTTTTCATAGATTCCCTGTGTGAGTTGAGGGAATTCCCTGCTATCCCTGATGTTGTTTTTCCTAGGTGTGACCATGGCATTGTAGTTAATATTAAAAGAAGTCTGTAACTTTTACAGATGAATGCTGAGGTATTTATGAATGAAATGACATAGTGTCTGTCGTCTGCTTCTGAATGATAGGGAATGGGTGCAGAAAAAGCGTTTGACAAAAGTGTCTGCTCGTGAGAATAGCTGTCAATGTGGCTAGAGGCACGTGGTCTGCGATTTTGTCTTACTGTGGTGACAGTAACCTTGCTCACCTGCTCCACCATGTCTCTCTGATGTGTAGTCACTGCTTTTCCCCTTTTAATTAAGACCTTGGGGGAGATCCTTGGAGACCATGCAAATATCCCGTTTCTCCTTGGACTTTCGCCCCCTGATTTTAGCGTCCGGCGGTGGCTCTCACATGTCACGACTGGTTACTGTTGCTTCTGAAGGCGATTTCTCTTTTCTCATTCTCTCCATAGTTATTGACTGGAATTCTTCTATGAGGAAGAGCTGTTCTCTCATACGTATTTATTTCATTCCGTGAGCTATAACCCACTACTGTTTCGTCACTCATGTTGTTCCTGTGCTGGCCATTTGGGGCTCTCTCAGTGTGCGCCCTGTCCCTTTGGCATGCCCCCTGCCTTCCCAAGCCTGTCCTCACTTTCTAGAACCACAGATGCTCCAGAGTCACCTTGAAGTTCCCGTGTTCCAGACCTGCGAATCAGCCACATCTCTGAGGAGCCCTGGTTTCTTTTATTGGAGAATAGTTTGTGCTATTTTTTGAGACTGAGTTGTCTTCTCCTTGCTGAGTTGTGAGGATTCTTGACATACTCTGGCTGCGAGTGCCCCATGAGATACTGTATTACGTGCCCCTGATTGTGGTTTAATGGTACTTGCACTAGTGCAAGTCTTCAGTGTATCCCTTCATTTTTGGTGATTACTCCTCTGGGTCATGTCCAGGAAATCTTTGCCTGCCCGAGTCACAAAGGTATTCTCTTTTGTTTTCTTCAAGAAGCTTTGTGGTTTCAGCTTTTGTGTTCAGGTTTAAGATGAGTTGTGAATGGATGTTTGCATATGTCGGCTGGGGGTTTATATTTGTGGGGATCAAGAATAATTAAAGAGACTTTGTTTCCCCATCAGGTTGTCTTGGTGCTTTTATCCAAAAGCCATTTAAATGTTAGCCTGAGTCTGTTCTGTGTGCTGGGTCATTGATCTATCTCTTCGTCCCTCCGCCAGCACCACGTTCTCCCGGCTACTGTAGACTTACAGTGGGTCTCAAAGTAAGGCGGTTAAATCTTTTTTTTTTTTTTTAAAGATTTTATATATTTATTTGACAGAGAGAGACAGAGAGAGAAAGGGAACAC